TGTTACCAATATTTTGGACCATTATTTTTAAAGTTACTACCATTTTAAAATATAAAGGTACGGGTGTGATAATAGTTGTCATTAGACATTTCTTTGTCATATCAATCATCTCTACTAGATATAAAAATATTAATAACTTCAGAAGTACTGGTTTAAAAGTTGTTATCGGTCAGTCATTTATGAATTAATCCAATAGTTAAGCTAATTAATTATGTATGATGCAGTTTGAAAAAATATAATTGACATTATTATGTGTTTTTGGTAAAAATAAATAAATATATCATATTATTATTATTATTATCATTATTATTGTAAGGTATAAGGGATAAACATAAAAGTCCATCATGATTGATAAATCAAAATATATAAGAAACTAAAAAATACCAAAAATTTTTTTTTAGCATAATTAGAAAAACTGAGAGAATTGTTTTGTGTAAAGATACATCAACATTGCTAGAACTTTGTCTGACGCATTGATATGTGCTCAAATCGCTTTGTATATAATTGTTTTTATTCATCAAAGAAAATAAATATAAAGTTTTTTTTAACAGAACACATTTAGAACCGGTTCTTACGTGAAAGCTTAAAAAAGAATAGTTTAAGAAGCCTTAAGATATCTTGGATCTTGTGATGTTTTTTAGATATTTCTTTAAAACTGGTTTCTAAAAATCTTGAAGGTTTTTCTAGTTATAACATATGGATAACCCCTTAAAAAAAAAATTTTATCATTTAAATAAAAATAAGGATAAAATAAATTTTTTCAAGTTATCAATTTTTAGAAATAACATGAATTTTTTTTTTATATTTTTAATTAATTTTGATCTTTGCTCATAATATAAAAAGTACTATTTTCATAAAAACAATGTTATGCTAAGTTTATAGAATAACCCAAATATTTAAAATTGAGTACACGTAATAATTTTAGCCTAACAGTGTTTATCAATTTATTTAGTAAAAACTAATAAAAATAGTTAATATCATAATATTTTTTTTATAAAGTGAAAACTATTTAGACGGTGGAAAATAAGTGATCACTCTGTCATATGTACAATATTAATTCATACACATTATACATAAAACACGAAAAATAATCGTTGCTATTAGCAACGTACATTAACATTACTTTACGGCTTTGACGTTTACCTGTCTATCCAATTGTGGACCTTAAATTAATAATAAAAAAAAATCCATTACCTATACGAATAAAATTGAAGGGTTTTGCAAGCAATACTGCCTGACCATTACTCCGGAAGCAAAACATATATTAAATTACTCGTTATGATGGTTATTTACTATACTGTATTGATTACTTTTTTTGGATGACCAAACAAAACTCTATTTAATGGAGACCCCCGGGGTAGTTTACCTACTCTTAATGAGTTCCCTTACATATCATTATACTTGATTTTATGTTATATTGATAATGTTCCTACGGTTGTTTTGGTAGTGTTATATATATATTTTTTTTTTTCTTCCTAAGAAAACGCTTATGCATATTAATTATTATACAACTGTATATTCCATTAGGCCTCCTGTTAAAGGACATCAAACTGCCAACTAAATACGATAATTAAATTAGTTTCAATTAACATACTCAAAAAATCGATTAAATCTCAGACACAACAAAAATGTATTTTAATTCTAAATAGGATAAACTTTTTTCTTTTACTGGAAAGTTCATATTTTTACTAGAAAACTAAACAAAAAGCTTACAGATTGATTCAAACAAATAATTATATGGGTCACTGCAGTGCGTGAATGAGCCATTGATCATTATTAGCTCTACTTAGTTGAAAACTTTATTACCTAGGATGTACACTTTGTAAAAGACAAATGCAGGATTTTGTTGGTTGTACAAGCTGAGCTGATAACCATGGATCGCAGAGGAAAAAGAATTGAATAAAATACTGCAGCAAAGGCAATGGTAGATTTTTTTAATGTTCGCGTGGTCAGCCGTTTGTTTGCAATTTAGCGGGTACCTGCCTTGCCAGTAAAACGTTATTGTCCTGTCTTTTCCTTCTAATAACGAATTTGACAAATCCCAATGGATAAGTACATTTTATTCTGTAGGAGGATTTTACTCTTACCCGCCCACAACTATATATTTCAATACTACTGGCAAATTGTTTTGGACCGATTGTCGTCCCGAGCAGTGGTCGAACAGGTCGAACGCATAATTTCTCATCGTCAGTCGCATTTGAAATAATTCTACATCCAGGTGCTTTATTTTTTCATCACTCTCGTCTAATAAAAGTCACTGGCAATACAATTCGCATAATTAATAAACATTTCGAAGAAGAATTGTTCTATTAAATACGAAAAAAAGTAATATTCTCCGAAAAGAGTAAAATAATAAATAAAACGTGTATTACTCATTGCTAAGAATTACAGAATGAAAAATGCTAAACTTTAGATTAAAGTTTTTAACCGTAGAAAGAATTATGTTTAGAGTTTTGTTTATTTATTTATGTTTACTTTTTATATAATTACAAATTTCCATTGTATAAAATATGGTTTATCGCCGTCATGGAAAGTTGTTACTTGTAAGGAAATCTTTAATCGCTAATTTTCAAATAAATAAGCCATTTTTTTCATAGTTTTTCAGTATGTTTGTGGTTTGTTGAAAAACTTAATTTTTTAATAAAACTGTCATTTATTCTAAATATTTACTGATTATTTAAAAGATTTTCGTTAAAAAAACCAGGTCAGGTTTCGTCTTTTAGCCTTTTTCTTTACTTTTTCCATATTTTTATAAGCTTGTTAACTCCAAAACATCGCAAGTAAATAAATTAGTAATTTTTAATTACACGTTTTGCGTTTTTTTTTTATATTTAATTAACTTTCAGATCAACAGTTTTACAATAAATTATTAGCTTAGAGTGTGGCTTTTATCAATAAAATGCATCTAGTCTAACAACTGCAAGAATAATTCTGAAATAGTATTGTACATAGCTCACGTTTTATTGTACAGTATTAATATTCCATACAGTGAACAATGAACAATGTAAACTCATTTACAGACTAAAACAGCACGTTACTCGACAGCGATATTTTGTATTTATGCTGATCATATGCCATTTTTCAAAAGCTACTAGACCGGATAGAGTAAACTCGGTTTTCTCGCCATAAATCAAACGCCGAACTTCTCAAGTCAAAAGCGGAGATGTGATGTTTTAAGCGAACACTTGATTAAGAAAGACTCGGTGGTTGTATATTTCCACTTTTCACACAATCGACTAATGAAATGGCTACTAATTTAATTTTAAGCTCTCGATTTAAATAATTACCCATTCCGAAAGCCTATTACTAAACAGATGTTCTTCAGTCGCACAATTTCATACTTCATTAGGTGCACACAAATTCCTAGGTTATATCCTTCTGCTAATTAATTTAATTTAAAATGTCGATAGTCTGAAATTCCATTATTTTCATACTAAAAAAAATTCAATTTATATTGTATTTTGAGCAATGTATATCGCTACCGAAAGTGACACGGTATAGAAACTGACTAAATGAAAACAACATATTTAATTACGTTATTATATTTTAGATAGTTTTTTTTTAGCTTCGATGCAAAGCTAACAAGGTATTAATTTTACTATGATGTGTTTTTTTATGTCTGTTGCCACTTTTTCTCAGCTCTCACTGGACCGATTTCTTTCAACAATACGTCAAAAGATCACAAATCGTATCTAGTTGAAGACATTACCCTTAAAAATTGAAAAATTTTCCCTCGTTCCCCGCAAATGGGGGAAATATCCAAAAAAATTACAAATTTAAAAATCGCTAAATTTTGTAATTTTTTTCACTTTTTTTTCTTAAAACTTCCATAACTTTTTCAAAAATAACCAACTCAACATAATTTTTTTTTATACTAAGACCTTAGATATTTCCCTTTCATTTGTTATCATTTTTTTAAAAATCTAACACTTAACCTGCTCATTGGGGGGGATTTAAAATAGCAAATTTTTTACAAAAACTAACTTTTTCAACTTAATTTTTGAAAATGTTCCGGAAATACTGCGTCCTTTAAACATATATAAAATTAAAGCTTATTTTATGTACTACAAAATGAAAAAAAAAATTGTCCCGACGACCTATCTTCTATGCGCAATTGGCTACCGTATTCAAAAATATGCTATTTTTGTATTAAAATTATGAATTTTGTATTTTATTTTAATAGAAGTTGATGTTGCTTTTGTAATTATCCATCAATTTTTTAAAATTAAACACTATCTACAGATTTGCATCGAAGCGTTTCTTATGATAGTGATTTTAATCACTGTCAGATTAAATCTATACTGGACCCTACTATGCAATGTCTCCACTATGCCGCGACCCCACTGTGCTACCGTTTTTTAAATTTGAGTTAGCTTAAATAGCCAATTTTTTCATGTGACAAAAGCAAGGAATAGTTGCCGTATGGGGAACACCTGTGTCTTTCACGCTTAGGGTACGAGGTTCAAATCCGTCTGTGGCTTTTAATATTTTTTTAATTTAATTCTAAATATAATTCATTAAATATTATTTGATGGAATTATAAAGAGGTCATAATATAATTTATGATATTATATTATATTATATTCATAGTGTTTATAAAATAATACTTATAGTTATTTTACAAAAGCTGATATGTCATTTCAAAAATGTTTAAAATTAAAAAAAAAACAACTTTACCGTTAAAATTAAATCTTAATATTTTGAGATACGAAAGAAAATATCCTCCTCTATATATACAATATTGCATCTTAAAATACCACTTTTATGACTTCTCAGCTTTTAGATATGAGCATAAGAATTGTATATTTTAAAATATATTAATTTTTGAGTGTTGCCATAAACACTTAATCCAAAAATTAATTTTTCTCATTAATCTAAGAATTACTTAGCATATAAATAGTCACTAGATAATGAATCACACTATCTAAACAATGTGGATCTAGTAATTGAGTACCACATCGCAAAAATACAACAAATTAAATCGGATTGGAATGGGTTTTATATTCAATTAAAACAATTAAATCACTTGTTTTCAATAGTATAACACAGTAAAATAATTTATAATGAAATATTTATTTAAGATTAAAACTATAACTAGATAAATATTATAAAATACAAATAAAATTCAACGTAATTATAATAATTCATTTTATTGATATGGTTTATTTTTAATAATGCGTTAATTTTAGAAATGTAAAATTTTACATGAATAACGACATTATTATTATTATGAATAGGAACACAACAGTCAGACTGTAATGGCATTTACTAGATGATCCAGTAACTGAAACAAAAAATAAATAAATATTTAAGTAAAATTATCTATCAATGACTTAAGTATATTTGAAAAGTAATAATTTCAAATATTTATCTTAAAAACTAATTATTATTTTTTTATTCTGAATAAATTGACAAAATAATAAATTTTATGAATAATAATAAAATTTTATTTTAAATTTTATTTTATTTAACTTTACTTTAATAAACTTTTTATTAAACTAGGATTTGGAATTATATACATTTATATTTTTTTAAGTTATTCCGAATATACCATCCAGTTAACATTTTTATTAATTGACTTGAAAGCTTAGTAATGTATTATTACTGAGGTTATAGTTCTGGGCGATTAAAGAGATTTATACCCTCCTAAAACAAAAATTATTCCTATGCTACGACAAAGTTGCACAAAGTTGGAACCCTCGAATGTGACTCAAACAAAACTTATAATTCCAAAGCCTAGTTATAACAATGCCAAAATTTGAATCTTTGCCTTCTTTGGCAGAAATATTCAACAATAAAAAAAAATTTGGAGTGCTTTGTATTATCAAAGAGAGATCAACTATAAAATACTGATAATAATTACAAATGTTTAAAGAATGTTAAAAAAGATTTTTTTATTAAATCTTTTATAAGGTATACATGACATTACCAAGTAAAAGTGCTTCTCTTTTATCTTGTCTGGATAACACTTTTTCATTGTCGCCTGACCACAGAACTGGAGATAGAATCGCTACGCACCTGACTCTCACCGCTCCGTTTAATACCGTCTCCGCGTCTAAAGACAAACGAATACCCAAAGTTGTTGTGACAAGCCCTCGAGGGTGTATTTGGGGTGAGTACCTCTTCAAAGATTCCTCTTTTGCCTAAAATACATAGATATTAAAACTTAAAACTAAATGCATACAAAAGATTATTAATCAAAGATTGATGAAGTAATAAAAAAGTATTTTCAAATTGAATATTTTAATAATAAATTGATTAAAATCAGTAAACTGATATTGTTTTAACCTCGGAATTATTACTTCAAATAAATTGTTTTATTATAAAATACTATAAACTAGTTTTTACGACATTAAATTCAATATGAATTACTTAATAAAGTTAAATAATATTAAAACAAGACATAGTTTGCAATAAGCATGAAATTTGAAAGTATATGAAACTTCGTAAAAAAGTGCAAATATTAATCGTACCTTAACGTTTTTCAATGTCATTTAGGAACAATATTTTGATATAAGTTTATATTTGACTTGGCAATATTATATTGTATATTATGCATTATTAAGTGTTTTGCTTAACGAATCGAAGTACGTAAAATGTTTATAAACATTTGCTTTACTTATTATTTACCCATCTGTTAAATGTTTAATGCCACCTATATCTTTAGAAATATTTTAAACAATTAAAAAAAGAAGAATGTGTTTAGTATTTATAAATAACATTTTTATAGAAATATAATTTTAAAATAATGTGAACAATTTCTATTTAGACACATGGAAAACATTTTCTATGATATGTTAACATAACTATCCAAGGTTTTTCCACTACTTTTCTAAATTAAACTATATAAAATAGCCCTTTGTGAAAATGTTATTTTAAAATAATTTTTTTTAATAGTTATAAATATTTAACTATTCAGTTTTACTTTCATATTATATTCTGACTTGCTCCGATATTGTCATTTTAATAGAATACCAGCAACATTATATAATAAGAATTAATCAATTGTGATCAATTATTTAAAACCTATGATATATTTAAAATATTTATATAAAATTAAAAAAATATTTAACTAAAAAATTCACAAAAAATAGTACTTTTCATGATATTTTTAATTCTAAATATCAACAAAAAATAAGATATATTATTTTCTATTTTTAAAACTCTTCTAATTTAATTAAATATAAGAAAAAATATGTGCGACAAAATTTTGCATATGACTTTACCATAAATTCAACTATGATATATATACTTTTTTTATTATATTAGAAGTAGAACTTCTCCTTCGGTTGTGTCTATTTAAAGGTTAAAACTGACACGGTTGAAGACGTTATTGAACCTCAACCTCACGCTTTTTATATGAATTTTCTTAGAACAAAAACCTTAATAAATTCTTAATAATTTTCGATTACTTCTGTTATTTGTAAACAATAGNGTTTTTTTATTATATTAAAAGTAGAACTTCTCCTTCGGTTGTGTCTATTTAAAGGTTAAAACTGACACGGTTGAAGACGTTATTGACCTCAACCTCACACTTTTTATATGAATTTTCTTAGAACAAAAACCTTAATAAATTCTTAATAATTTTCGATTACTTCTGTTATTTGTAAACAATAGAAGTAACTTGTACTAGTAAAAAGAAAAACAGTATCTAAGACGTCTTATGTGAATAAACTACATAATTTTTTTATCTATATTATTTTATTTCGCAAAGCATAGATCTTATCGATGGCATGAATTTTTGCGGGCACAAGTAAAGACAAAAGTATTCACATGTGTATACCATTGTGAACATTATTTTACCTTATTCTGATCTGCCCATTTTATAACGGACATAAAATATGCACATTAAATTGCTGGTCGCGTGCAAAAAACCGCTCAAATGCTATCATTTTTAAACTGATAAAGTTCTTTTACATTTCACTGACATTAAATCTACCTATACTATTTATGAGCTAACATTTAACGTACTAAAGATATACACTGTTTACTTTTGAAGGTAATATTATATTTGCTTTTATGCTCATAAATAGTTTCAAAATAATTCAATTATTATTTTAGAGTACAATATCTAGTATATCTAGTATCTAGTATCTAGTATATATAGTATCTAATGTCTAGTATATCTAGTATCTAGTAAATCTAGTATCTAGCTATATACTAAAATAGCTCCACCTGGAAGAGATTTTACGTTTTTTCTGCTTTAAAATTCCGATTTATTTGNACTACCTATACTGTTTATGAGCTAACATTTAACGTACTAAAGATATACACTGTTTACTATTGAAGGTAATATTATATTTGCTTTTAAGCTCATAAATAGTTTCAAAATAATTCAATTATTATTTTAGAGTACAATAAACTCTTATTATAAGTCTTCATATACAAACAAAATTTCAAGTATACGTTATCTTCTAGTTATAATCTATGCTAGGGATCAAATTAAGGATATAATTAACTTTTAGTAAGTAGTATATAATTATCATTATTAACATGATTATAGCAAGACTTATTTTAATACGAGTATATATTAAAAGATTATAAATATATGAATTTAACTTATAAAAACCCTTTTTACTAACTGACATGTTTGGGTAGTGTTCTATTATACTTTATGTTAAAGTACTAATTAAGCCACACTTATTATACTTGAATTCATTTAAAATTCATTCATTCATTTATTATTAATTCTTTAACACAATACAAGTATTGTTTGCCAGTAAAAAATTATTATTATTTTTTGATCATCAAACTTAATAGGTTTTGCTAATGGTATAAAATTGAATAGGTGAGGTAATATAAAGTTATTAATTTTTTTCTTTTAAAAATGAGTAAAACTTAAAATTACTAAATAGTATAAAACATATATTATTTATAGATCTTGTAGTGTTATAACTTACAAAAATAAAAATTTATATTTTAAAAAAAATAAATACATACGGGTATGTTATTGACAAACCAATGTAGTGTAGATGCTGGGTAAGACTTTGCAGATGTACAGTTAAGGTTTATTGAATCCCCAAACTGATACACAGTCTTGTCACCGGATATGTATGGACCATCTTTAGGTAAATCTAAAAAAAGAATAATTCAACATTTGTTATTTTATGATTTGTTATCACATAAAATAAAATAAAGGTGTCACTATAGCAACAATCGTATGTTTTCCAGTAAAAAATATGATTTCTTGGGAAAACAAACAAATATATATATATATATACTTTTTTAGCAAAATATGTAAATTTTTAGGACTAGGGTAAAGTTTATACAGTCTATAGATTATTATTATTGTTTACTTTTTTATGTTTAAAAAAGTATGACTCACAATAAATTGTAGTGATATTTAATATTTTAATCAGATCTCAATAAAAAGTAAAATTGATCATCCTATTACAATAAACCTATTCTTTTATCTCAAAAACATAAAACTGTAATACTTATAAAATACAGTAAATATATCATGAACGTTTGAAAAAACAGAAATTATCAAAATTATTGTTTGGTAAAACAGTGAGATATATTTATTTTTTAGAATCATTCTTTATAACTTATAGGGGTGTCAACTTCATTATTTTTAATGGCAACATACATACTTAAATAGTTTGTAATAGAGGAAATAATCTAATTAAGAAAATTACTTGTCTGTAACTTTAAAACCAAATATTTTTTCGATTTTATTACGTATCAAAGTTTAGGCATAATAAAGGATTTAAAAATTTTAAACTATATAAAAGATCCTAGGTAAGACGTCATACTAATTGTAAATTAAATGACCTGTATAAAAGAATATAATAGACACATTTTAATTACTGTCATTGTTTTCTTTATTTAATATTCTAATTAAAGAATAATAATTATGTGAAAAATACTTTTTATAGTATCAATTTATTCCAAACGTTCTGTACTATACATTTATCAACAATGTTATTTTAATAAAATTTTCTTTTTTTTTAAGTTTAAATAAAATATGAAGCTAAATTAGATTACACAATTGTTCTAACCTAATTATAACGTTTCTACGAATATTAACAAAGTATCTATAAGATAATACTTAAATGATAAATATCACTAATAAAATATATATATACACGAAAAAATACTTTATAAGTATATAACTGTTTAAATTAATTAATTTAAGAAATATTAACTTATGAAACATATCTCATGTAAAATATCATCGATAACACCATAATTTAGATATAGTACTATTAAAATGTATGTAGCAGTTATTCAAACGGTAATTTAAAGAAATTTACCGAAAAAAAATATTTATATCAATGGCCCTCCATAATCAACGAACAAAAAAAAAAAACAAAATATTATTTGTACTTTATTTTTTACAATATGTTGTTAAGGATCAAGTTAAATTTAATTGTTACATTAATAAATAAATACTTCAAAATAAATACTAAAGAATTGATCAAATGTACACATCAAATTTAAAAAATTATATTTTTATATTACTTATAAATAAAGTGTAATAGATTGTCACTTGTCTATCTATTACATTTTGTTATGAAATCATAATTATTTTCTATTTTTTCACATTCATATATTTATATTTATTTTTTAATGCGCTCCTTCACATTAATGTACAGACATCAGTCTTTGTCAAGTGTTAAGCGCCAGCAATTCATAACGACGACGTTTTTATTTGAATTCGCCACAAGAGTATAAATATTGCACTATTTTTTGTCCTCACAATTTTTATTTTTATTATAATTTTTTTATTCGTCATATTGTCTGTAACGAAGGTATGGAATACAATTAATGGTATACAACTACCAGAAGTGTCTTTTGATACAGTATGGCCTCCGTTTTTCTTTGTACTTTATTTTTTTTCATTTTTTCCCTTGTAGTGTCATGTCCTGTACCAAATAATATGAAGATTATATATATAATGGAATTTAATGCTTAAAAACACTCAGATCGGTCCAATATGGGTTTTGAAACACGTTGTAAATAATTTATGTGAAAACTGTCAAATGCTTAATTAACAGAAAATATCAATTACATAGAGCATTTAATAATAAATATTTTGCGATATATATGAATTATTAAGCTTAATATAGGCACATAGAATTATAATTTGAATAATGAGAGTTGCAATAATCACGTATTAAGTAAAAACGAAAGAGGAAACTTGATTATTACTGATCAATATTTATTTGATTGAAAGAAATTTAAGTTTCCTTAAAAGTTCTCAAGAACATAATTTGTGGATAATTGTCAACAAATTAATTAAAAATTATAATTTTAAATAATTTTTCTTTATATGAATACCATCCGTTTCTAACTTTCTGTGTTTACAATTTTCAATGAGTAAATTAAACATATTATTTGGTTTATTTATTTTTATATATTATTATAGAGGATAAAACGAATTTAATGTGATTTTAATAAATCCATGTCATACACAACTACGTTATTTTTTTTTCCACCAGAATTTGTATTTGACACTATATTAAATTCGATTACTAAAGTTTTCCTCAAACAATCCGTCTAACTTCTGGTCGATAATGAACAATAACTAAGTCATTCAAAACTGTCATAGTAACGTCTTGCTATTTACGACCGTCTAGGTAACAATAATCTAGACAAATTATGCATTTAAATAAAAAAAGAATAAATTATTGTAAACAAATTCTAAGAATTTAAATGAAATAAAATTCAACTACCAAAATTTAAAAAAAGGTTATGTCTAACATTTATTAGCTGCTAGTTAAAAAAAATTACAGAATCCATTCTTTTATTTGTATAATAACGAAAATTAATATTTTTTTTATATACTTTACTGATACAAAATATAAAACACGTTAATTTTTGAAAACATTTTATTTAAACGAGGTTTGAATCTTTATTTGATTGCATATTTATAAATAGAAACTTCAAGAATTACTCATTCATAGATATATAAAATTAATGGTTGTAAAACACGGTTTACTTGAATATTCTAAATATTATTTATTTTGCTCATGATCTAATATCTAATATGAGTTCGTGCATGAGTAGATAAAAATTACTAACTTAGAATAAAAATATTGAGCTATTTCACCGTGGTTCTGGAGATGTAATTCGGATTTAAAATATTTGTACTACGAATTTATGAAAAGTTATACAGACTTTGTTGTGAAAAGAATATTTATTTGTCACCACTATGTAAGTTGCACGAAAAAGGCATCGAGGAATAAATACCAAATATGCGTATTAAGGATAATCCAGAAATATTACGTACAAGCCTGAGAAGTTGAATGAAAGGTCTTTTTAACAGTGACTTTTGAAATGACTTTTGAAAAGTCTTAACAAATACACATACCTAAAATGTTCCCAACATAATGTAGTTTTAAAGCTTTTGTAAAACAACGTTTTCATACTTCTCTAAAACTAATGTATGGACACATTTGAACGCTCTATTTTTTATTTTCAAGGAGATTTTGGACTTTTGAAACAAAACGAAGTAATTTAATTTGATTTTTTTTCATTATATATGTAGTTTGTTAAATCTCTAAATATGAAAATTATTCAGCAGTTTAAAACATTTATGAATTAATACATAAAAATGAACATATTTTGGCAATCTCAAAGTTATTTTTATTTCTTAAACCATTTCACAAACATAACTCGTACTTTATATTAACTATGAATTTATTGACTAACTATGTATTACAAGAAAAATTAGTTATTTTCAAAAAAATTTCTTTAAGTAAAAAATGATTGTCGTTTAATACAGGTACATAACATTTTTTTGAAGCTGAACCTACTTTATTAATGAAAAATTAGTTTTTATATTTTAGACGTGTTACATTTCAATGGAAAACATTGTTTTCTATAAAAAAGTTGTAGGTAGTATAATTATTTTATACAGCATAGTAACACAATTAGAAACCGAAACAATGCATGTCTTAATATTTAAACACAAACATTTATTATTACTTCGTAACCATTTTACAATGTCTGAGGAACTTTATGAAATCACACTTCAAGTAATGTTTATTGAATAAATAAATGCATTACCTATTAACTTAAATATCATATTATGCAATGCGCTTTAGTATTATTCGATTAATTTGAATGATTTATAAAATGAAATATATAGTAAATATAATATATAGTTAATATAGTGTATTATAATTACTTCAATACCAATATACTTGGCTTACATATAAAAATATATTAATTTCATAAATACTTAAATAGTTTAATTAATAAAAATTCATTTTTTTTTTATATTTATCATAGTTGATATGATTTTATTACGTTTATGTCTGAATTTCTACAAACCATAGACAAAACTATATAGACCGTTAATGACCTTTTACGTGTAATATATTGAAGCCAATGAGTGTTTGCGTCCAACTAAAAGTTTTTTTTGTAATACTATTGCATGTAGTAATTTGAAACGTATGTATAAAATATCATAAAATAGCGCAAAAACGCATAACATATTTTTGGTAATCGTTAAATTATCTTCGACTACTTAAAAAGGGTATTTTAAACGATAAAATAAACTGAAAATCAATACAGTGGGTGTATACGTCAAAATTGTGCCAAATATAGATGATATTTGACATTAATTAAAATCACTCTCATAAAAACAATTCGATGTGAATTTGTTGATAATATTCAATTATTAATAGGAATTGTTAGATTATTTTAAAAACAACATTAAATACTATTTCCTTAAATGTATACTTAGTACTAGTTTTATGATTTTTAAGTATAATACATTAATAAATAATTATTTAACTAATTAAATTAATATTAAATAATTTAATATTGTGATTTATACGGAGAAATTATAATGTAGTTTTATTCCTCTATGAAAAACGTATATCAAAATTGTATGTATGATTTACTAAAAAAAAAGAAAGTAAGGTTAGTCCAACTCATGATAATTAATAAAAATATCAGCTATTAAAATGAAATAAAAAATTTATCACAAACAATTGGTAGATAGAACTTTTTTTTTGTCAAAAACAGCCTCCTTCCTTTTCATTTATAGAAATTCAAAATTATAGATATAAATAATTAAAAAAAAAAAATACAAGTAGTAAATTATAATAACACGAAAAACAATCATTTTTAATGAAACAATAACATTTTTTGATTAATTTCGGGGAACTTTTACATATATAAAGTTTAGAAAATTGTTTTAAGCTTTTGGTTTCTTGTATAACCGCTTTATTACCCAACCTAACCGCCGTTTATTTAACGTATGTTCAAAGAATATAAAAACTCAGAAAAATTTTATGTCACTATTTTATATCTTCCCTTGAACAAATAAAAGTTTAGAATTTAAAAAAAAATAAAAAATACCAATTAAAAGGGAAATATTTAAGGAATTAAAAAAAAAAAATTTCTGATTTTTCCATTTTTCAAATAGTTAATCCAGTTTTTAATAAAAAATGAAATATATCAAGTTTAAAAATCATAATTTTTGGTGAATTTGAACCATTTATAGTAAATGAGGGATTTTTTTTAATTTTCAGGGGCTAATTGAATACAATTTGTAATAGTTTGACGTGTTGTTGAAATAAATCGGTCTGATGTGAGCTAAGAATAAATAGTGACACAATAATAAAATTAAAAAGACATATCATAGTAAATTAAATACCTTATTAACATTGAAGCTAAATAATGATTTTGATACTTAAAAAGATTTTGCCCTTATTCTTCGGAAAATTTTAGAAGTTTTAATCTTTTACTTTGACAGAAAATTCTCATCTTATCTAAAAAAAGGTTTTCTCGTCCAGTGTCATTTTATTTTTCAACTAGTTCATGAATGAAACTTAACCTACAAATTTTTTATATTGCACTAACTTTTTATAAAAACAAAAAAACGCAGCACAATCGTTCTAAATTTAAATATACATTTTATATCATGGTTACAATGAACTTGTTACAATAATATTTAACTGATACGCAGAGATATTTCTTTTAAAAAAACAACGAAAAAAATCTGAATTATAATTCTTAGGGGAACTATGTTTGGTCAACAAGAGCGATACAACCTAAATTCGATGACTTCGATGAAACGACATTGAAACGCTAGCGACTGTCAAGGGGTTTGCGTAAAAGGTTTTCTTTTGCAATTTGAATAAAAAATAAAAATAAATAGATGTATGGGTATAAGACAAGAAACCAAGGTTTCCTATATAGTTCACCCATATTGTCTAGACCCAACTAGAATAATAGGATAACACATTTTGTTTACATTCGCCAGTACTTATACGTTTTATTTCGTGTCCTAAGAAATTGTTTTCCGTTTCTATAAAATTTATTTTTATTAAAAATTAGCATACGATTGGTCTTTTTACTCTTCTGTTTTTTAAGCGTTGAGAAACTATTAGAAGTAAACAGAATCTAAAAAGGTATAATAATTATACCTTTTTTTATTTTATTTTTTCTTCAAAACGTTTTTAGTTTTACTTATTATAATCATTATAATATTTATTATAATAATTTAGTTTCATTTGAAAGAAATAACTTTTTTAAAAAATTAAATCCAACAAATGATAGGAGTTCATTGAATTGTTTATTGCGCTGAATTTACTTAAACTAACTGTATTAAAATAAATTTAACTGACTATCAATAGATAAATATAAAAAAATATTTCCTGAGTTATTAAATTACTAAATTTGTAAATTAATTATGTATTAGTAACTCATTCAACTTCGAAAATTGATAAATCTTTTTTGATACTTAATAAATATTTATTGAATTACAATAGTTAGCTGAAACAGAATATTTAAATTTAAGACAATTTTATTTCAAAAGCCATCATCCCGTTAGGATATTACAAATATCTGATTATATTGTTATAATAGAGCGTATTGTTTTAAGTAATTAATTGAATGTTTACATGCTATTAAACGTTGTAAGGTAACCGATAAAAATAAAAAATAATTTGAAATATATCGTAAACATAGAAATTTCAAAGCAAAGTTGTACTACTTTATAAAAATTAACATATTATTTAAAACAGCTATTCGCAGTAAGTCAACAAACTCATCTAAGTACATTGAAAATAAATTGTTACTTATGTAAATAAAGAAACGATGCGTTAACTTTATAACTTGATTTAATTAGAGATTTACATATTTTATACTCATAATAAAATTTTCAATAGAATACTTTATTGGGTTTTGGTAAATTAAATGGAAATTTGGAAATTATATAAAAAACTAACGTTAACCAAAGTAAGTTTTTTATTAAGTTAATATAAATTATTTTAAAATTAATATAATTTTGAACCCTGTTGTAACATTGTTTTACAACAATATAAAATATTTGAAATTGAAAAATTCTACTTGGAAAATTCTATATTTTTAATTATTTTACATAAGACATAAACATTTGTAAAGGCACGGAAAAAGTTCATGCCTATTCATAAAGTTTATCATCGAAAGAATCTATTCAATTTGTATCAAATTATTTGATATAAGGTTAAAATACTCACATATAACTTCCATCCGCCCACCATCTTGTGCTGATGCAAAAGAAGGTCCCTCAGCAGATACTTCACATCTATAATTAGCGGTGGTTTTCAAGGTTATATCTTTTAAGGTTAATTGCCGACTATTAGATTGTGCATGCTGAAAAATAATAAATGTGATGTTAACAAATAATTCAAAAAAAAAAAATGTCTTAACATACGTCGACTTTGATACCATCTACAATATAAGAAGTTTTTTGAGGAGTCGCTTTAGGCACAAATCGATAAAATTCTTCATTTTCTCGATACCATTTTACAGCATATAGAAGATCACCTTCAAGCTCAAAATCACATCTTAGCACAGCTGTTTCTCCTCGAATTTTGTATCTTGGTACAAGAGCTTTCACTGTTAAGGCTTCACCTGTAAAATATTATAAAAACACAACGGTTAAAAAATTACTAAACACTGAAATCTTATTTAATTTAAACTAAAATTTTAATTTTACATCTTCACACAAAATACTTCCTATATTTTAGAAATTTAAACTATAATAATAATTTAATAAGTATTAATCATTTGTGGCTAATACTATTTAAAATTAAACCTAGATTTAAAATATTAATTTAAAACTAAAACAATATTAAACAAATATATACTATAGTATATGTTTAGCACTGATGATAGTATCATTGTTTCAGAAATACATTCTCTCAATTTTTATGACTATGAGATATATATTTTAAATATTTTTTAGTTATAAATTACAATTTTTAGTACATTTAAATTTTATACAAAAATTAATTTATGAATGAAATATTTATTAAATATTCATCTATTATTATTTAAATATACACAATTATTAATTTAATAATTGAAAATAATTATGTAGTAGTACTTTATGATTATATGTACTGGCTATAAAAAAATATGTTTTTAAGAAATATATATTTTTTTTTTTGTAAGGTATATCACTCTTTATTCTATCTGAGATTCTTAATAAATGATATTATTTAAATTTTAATTATAAAAAAACCATACTTTAACAAATTGTTTAAATTATTAACTATATTGATATTAGCAAATAGTTAATTTAAATAATATTAGTTCTATCCCGATACTACAATAACTTAAGATGAAAACATGTGTATACTCTTATATATTTTTTATGCAAATTTATACTTATACTTTTAGTTTTTATGCTTTATTTGTATAAATGTACTCATAACAAAAAAGACCCTTCAAAAATGATATAGCCCTTAACTAAAAAGGATATCAAAAACATAGTTATTGAAAATTTTTATTTGTTTTGTTTTATATTTGAAATATGTTAAAAGTATTAGTGAAAAAAGTTATTTGTAAATAAAAATCCTGTCATATTACTCTAGACCACTCGACAACGTAAAGGATAAGAAAAACAAAGCATCATTCAACACACTTCCAAACACTAATATTTCTTGACTTAAAACTAGCAGAGTGTAAAATTATATTCTTATAATAACAAATTGGTATTGTGATAAATCTTGAGTGATGTAACAAAATATAGCCCCAACTTCCTTACAGTAATATTGAAGAAATATATACATTTTGAAATGGTATGTTAAGCTTTGATAGAGAAGTAAGTTTCTAAATGCATATTCCTTTTCCTAGTAATGTTATATTTCTAAATAAAGAAAATATTAGAATATGTCCTTTTGTAATTAATACGCTATTTTATTGCAGTTATACTCGTAGGTAAAACTTATTAGTTTGCTCAGAATACTTATTATAATGGCCTTATCTATTAATTAAGCACTACCAAGTTGTATATTGTCTAAACACAAACAAAACGTAGTTTGGTGGGTCAAAAAGACAAAATTTCTTAATCCTGAAACTTTAAAAGAACAACTAAAAATTATCTAGAGGAATCAAATAAGGAATCATAATTACAATATAACTGTTTGAAAAAATACATAAAACCTATTGGTTTTTTTATTGACATAAAAGCAAATTTTATACGGGTTAATGTTTACACATAAATGCGGGTATTGCACCGGGTCTAGTGAATTCCTACTATCACGTTTCATGTTTAATGGCCTCTCAAATTTGATCAACAAAAAAAAAACAGCATAGAAGGCTCGAGGCATAGTGAAAATGCAGCATAGTTGTGACAAGTATAGATGCTATCTGACTGTGATTCACATCACTGTCATCGTTATATTTGTGCATCATATTTGATGCGAGTATGTTTAATTTCACAATAATTTCTATATATGAAATTTTATCATTTCTATTTATTTTGAAAATTCACATGAATATTAAATGCTTGTTAAATTATTTGCTTAATTAAAAAGAAAGTTTTTTTTTTTTTACTTAGACGGCAGATTTATTATAGAAAAACAATCGTATATTTATAAAAAGCACACCAAAAAAAAAAAGCTTATTGTCCTAATATACATATGACATAATAATATGTGTGGTGATGACAATATAGCCATAAATCATACAATATTTTCTATAATACTTATACACAATACAATGGCAACTTTTTAATTTATACTAAAACTCTGTATTCCTATTCTTTTTAGTTACATACTTAGAAATTGAAAAAAAAAACTGAATCGCATTTTATCCCATAACTCCAAATAATTTTATTACAATAAAAAAAGATTTTAATATTTTAAATATTGGTAGTTTGAAACTAAAAAGAGAATTTTTTTGAGTAATTTTCGTTTTTATTATATTACATAATTATATTACTATTTTTTAACGAATTAAAAAAAAGATTATCTCGAATTTCTTTTATAATAGTTAAAATTATTAAAAAACTTATTTTAATTTTTTTTTTTTTATGAATTAATAGTATAATACTTAATAATCCCAATAAAATAATTAAAGTAAGTAAAAAATTAATAAGCTCAAAAATAGAACAAACATTTGTTAAATGAAAAAAATGACTAAAAAATTTATATGAACAATTTTTAAAATAAATTTAGTAATTTTAAATCTAAGTTAGAATATTTAATAAGCAGTTTAAATAGCAGTTACTTTTTTTTAAGACTTTCGGATATCAGTTCTTTTTTTTTGAAATGAATAATATTTTAATTTTATGTTGTTTTTAAAATGAAATGTTAACTAATAAATTATAACACAATTATCATAACATAAAACATAATTTAAAAAAACTTTATTTTTAGCATGTAAAAGGAGAAATTTAACAATTTTCAAAATTTTGTGTTCTCAATGACAAACAAGAGATATTTACACCAAAACTTTCATTATTTTTGACTTAAAGTTATTATTTCTATTTCGACGGAAAAGATTTAGAGACAAATTTTTTCTAATGATTTGAAATTTTGTACACTTGCATAAAATTAATAACAATAAAAATCAACATCTATGGCATTTTGAAGAGTGTTAAATGGTCACAGCTGGTAAAATTTATCTTTTTTCAAAATTTTTATTGTACTACTTCCAGTGATCCAAGTAATCATTTCCACTCCTAAAATTAAATTCATTTTACACTTAGATTTTTGCCTAAGAATTCCATAGATTAATGTAGATCATAGTAACAGTAGACTATTTTATTTTTATAACTTGCAGGTCAACCATCTTGCTAGATTGCTAACTGTTACACATTGAAAAAACAGTAAGTATTTTGCGTTAAATTTATATTACTTAACAAAAATATCAAATTAATCTACTATTCTTCTATAATATGTTAAAGGACAAAATAAAGTATTACATGTATTAATTTTACACAATAATTATCTAAAATTTTTTAATCGTAGGTTACATTATAAAATCAAAAACTTATGCAATCTGAATATACCATTTTTAACAAAAAAACTTTATTGCACAATTTTTTAGTGTAATGTAAAAATTATTATCAAGGGATTGTGTATAGATGTGAACATATCTAATATATACAGCTTCAATGTCAATAAACAATGCTATGAACGAATTTGTCCTTAGGGAGCTAACTCGAGAATCAATGCAGCAAAATCCTATCTGCATTATTTCACAATTTGTTAGTATTTTTGTATTTTCAGTGTTTACAATAACAGGTACTTCAATAAAAAAAAGTACTCATGGAATGTTTGTTCAAAGGTTGCTTTTGTAGAAATAGTGTAATGTATAAATTGTTAAAACATCAAAATACTTTTATATAAGCAATCTTAAGATTAAAAAATTTTTATTAAAGAAAACTACATTTTTATTCGAAAGTTTATTATAACATATGTGATTATTATTCATGATTTTAAGGTGAATTCAGTTCAACATATTAATATTTAAATTTAACTCAACATAAACTGTTTTTTCTCATTTGATGTTCTACTGCTACATACGACATTGCGGTTCAAATTTTATGATCTATTAATTATTATTAAAAGGTAAAATAGTGTTGAAAATCGAAAATATTTTTTTTACATGAGTAGATAATTAAAATAAATACAAAAAAACGATAATATCCATTATCATATTATTATTATTATTATTATGTAATTAAAACTAATTAAGAATTTTTAAATTCCTTTAGATAAATTGTTATTTCTCTGAAAGATAAATTTTTCAACGAATTGAGTACTTTATTACATTATTTTATATATGAACAAAATTTAACAGTGTCAAGTTGCATAGAAAAATTTTCAAAAATATTTTTTTAATCAGTTTAAAATCTATTAATTCAAATAATAAAAATCATAATATAATTTTATTTTTTTAAGTACCGTTGATCAACACTAACTTTTTTATCAACAACCAATATTGTCAAGATTCTGCTTATCAAACTGAAGAAATAGTTAATTTATTTTACCACAACAAAAGAATAGTATTACATATCCTCATAATCCTCATTCATTTCCATTAGTTATTGTTTGAACTGTACATATTTTTTAAAGTAGGAGTTTAATAACAATGAATTAAAAACTCATACTAGTTGTATTTATGTCAATAATTATAATATGGTCGACGATAATTCTTATTCAAATGCAAGTTCTTTAAACACCAGGTTTATCAGATAAGTAATTTTAGAATCCATCAAATTTGGCATAATTAAATCTTACAAAGTTCTATAAACGTGCCAGTTTTCAACATTTTTAAGGGGTAATATCCACCAAATGCTCAAAAAATCAAGGCTTTTTTCATGATTTTTTTTAAAGGACATTTGAGATGTAAGGTATATAAATAATATATCATTGGATTAAGCAACTCTTGGAGAATAGAAAAATATTTTTTATTGTTATTTTTTTTACAAAATGGCGGCTGTGCAGCGATTGCCGTGAACTGCTTTTTTAAAAAGTTCTTCCGCGGCGAGCAGTAGAAGTCGTGCCCAACTCCAACTATAACAAAAGAAAATTTTTTTTCATTATCTACACGAGTGTCGCTAGTGAAGTACACATGATTATATTTTTAGAATTTTTTTTCGCAAAATGGCGACGGTT